TTGATTTATACCAAGTATATTTAACTTCATGATTAATTATTTAAATAACGAAACCCTTCATTTGATATATTTGAGCTGTTTTATGCTTTTCAACTGCTCTTTGAAGCAATTATCAGCCACTCACTTGGCAGCAACTCATGAATTTATGCATTTAGACGTGATCGAGACAACCTGCTAAAGTTCAAACCGAGCGTCAGAGTGAGAAAGATTTAAGAGACTTTGAAAGGTGGCATGGGTGTTTGAAAATCCCAGTAGATCCCTGTCTGGCACAAACACTACCATTTCTGGGATTTATGAAGAATGGTCTGAAAAGGAGAAGATATCCGGCGAGCGGAGGTTCTCAAGGAGAAAATGTCCTGTTGATGTCAGCGGTCAGAGGAGAATGGCCAGACTGCTCTCAACAGGGAACAACTTTTTTATAACCAATGGATTTAAGTAATTTTCCTGATGACTTTCTGGTCTTAGTCATAAGTCTTGTGTTTTATTGAACTTGTTGAACATGGTGTTCATTTTGTAAATGATGGTCTTCCTCAGAGTCAGAAAAGGAGGAGGAAGCAGAATGTGGCTCCAGTACTGTATCTGTCATCACCTGTTACCTTTTGGTCTCTTGTAGGTTTGACAATCTCATAATAGAAATGTCAAAGATTTGACGTGTTGAGAGGGACGCTGGCTTCACCTGTACAAACACACTCCATCGCTCTGAATTGAGGTTAAATGTCTGCAAATATTGTATCTCACATAATTGGAATTTTTTTCTTTTAGTCCTCATCTATCGTGGTACTTAAAAAGCCTGTCTCACAGCGAGGAGTGTTTGGAGTTCCAGAAGCGTGTCAAAATGTTTTGAAATGTATTTAGTCATGCTCATTGATCTGCACCTGATGCTTGGCTGATTTGATGTCCCTGAATGCTCCAGTTTACACGACCCGCTGCTGCTGCTATATTGGTGCTACGATCGATCAGGGCCCAGGGGTTGAGGACCACCTGAGCAAAACTATTTTAACAAGCACTGCACTATAAGTCATATGCAGGAGATTTAGGAACTCAGAATGTCAGAAACAACCAGAATATGGCTTAGCTGATGGCCTCGTTTAGGTTGTCGTTTTTAATCCACGTCATAAAAATGCAAAAAGTTCGTCGTGAGTGTGAATCCACATATCGGTGTTATTTTTGTCCATCCAAAGAAAATCAGAAAACAAAAATCACATTTATGTTTTTCTCAGTTCTTCAGGAGTCTAACATAAGAAACAGCCTGGAGTCAAGAATAAGAGCTGGCATCATTCCCATCTTACAAAGGCCTGGTCAGTGTTACATAAAAGATGTTGAGACCAGTGTTTCTCAGGCTCAGATGGAAGATTTAGAAAATACTTCCGATGTTCTTGGTACCCAGGAGAAGCTTGGCAATCACACTTCTTTGCAGTTCATGTTATCACCGCAATTCTCAACCTGTTCAAAGCATTTTATACCAAAACAAAGTCTGTTAAGCACATTATCTAGCAAAAACTTTCCCTCAATTCATCAATCACTAGATGTCCGATTAAGATCTGAGTGTAGTAAGATGTTTATATTGTACATCAAAGAAAAAGAACCCCAATGAACCACCAATCCATTATGAGCAGCGCTTGGCAATGGTGGGGAGGAAGAACTCCCTTTAAACAGGAAGTGACGTCCAGTAGAATCAGAGCCAGGGGCAGACATGTTTGAGTTTAAGACTTGGGATGTTTGAAAGAAGAGATGGTTGCTGTCCAGGTGAGTGCTTAAGCAACATGTTAGCATTAGCCAACAGCTTCCAGTAGATGGTAAACTGGGACTGAGTGCTGTTGGCGTGTCCAGTTTGGGTGAAACCACAAGACCAGCAGCTTTTCTCTTAAGCTGGTCCTCAGTTTGTCTGCACTGGTGGTTTGTTAGGGGAAATATGTGTGTGTGTAAATCATTTACAACTTTTTGTGCAGTTATAAGTTGAAGTTGTTTTTTTTATTGGCATGTCATTTGGGAACCACCGCTCTCTGCAGAACTACTGAACTTTACACCAATAAGATTACTTTTGCTTTTCCAAACAGTGAGTCTAAAGATAGAGGGAAGTATATATGAGTTCTGAGAGCAGTGGAATTGTGGGTTATTAATAAAGTTTCGACTTTGGAGGGGACTTCATTTCTGGGTAACAGTCTCTGGTGTTTTCTCTTTTTTCAATAATGTTGATGTCTGAAAGACACACACTGGGTTCCTTCATGAAACAAGAGCAGTTGCTTCTTTCTCTCACTGAGAGTCACTTCACAGCTTAGAGGAGGTGATGAAGAAAAGCTGAAGGAATCTAAACAGCAAACAAAGCTTATTTTTACATTATTATTTGCCCCGATTGTTGCTTCTTCTTTTTGTCATCTCAAATGTGTGTGTGTGTGTGTCTACTATATCAGTGACGCGAGCTGAGCTGAGGGCCGCTGTGCCCGCTGACTGGAGCCGTATAGATCAGCCGAGTGTTGGAGATTATGTCCATTGATCGGACGGGAAGGGTTTGTGGTTTGATTCTGTGTTTTCTGATTTCAGGGGCCGAAGGAGCCGTGTTCAGCAAATCAGTGGAGACGCCGCATGTCAGAGCTGAGCCGTTCAAAGAGCTGCGGTGAGTCTTTCCACGGCACACAGCGAGCACTCGGTCTCATGCAATACATGAACAGATGCACGTCAAAGTTCACAAATACTGCAGCAGTGTAGTGAAATAAAGTGCTCACAGAACACCAGATCAATCCCTCACATCGGTACACCCCACAGATGGTACAAATTAATTTATGGGAATGAATTAATGGAAAAGCATTTGAATGAATGTGATTGACAAAGCTGAGGTACACTTCAACTGCACTCCTATGGCAGGAGCGTAAAGATTAGACTGCTTTCATGCTCTTTCTGACTTTAATAATACCAATAAGTAGCAAAAATTATCACCCTCTTGTATTCAGTAAGACTTCAGAGTATAACCGAGACCACAAACAAATCACAAAACACAAGGTTTTTATTCACATAACAGTTAAAAGGAGCTGAGAGCCTTTTTCACACAGACTTCTACACAATCAGGCTTCTTTTGCAACTAGAATAGTCGCCCCCTGCAGGCCATTAAAGAGAATGCAGGATTAAGGCACTTGTGAGTTGTTTTACTGCAGTACTTAAGTGGTACAGCAATGAAAAATAAAACAGCTAATATAATTATTCTGGGAGAATATTCCATTTTTAATAAAAAGTGGTTAAATCTTGGCGATACCAGTTCCCTGACATTCTCCC